TTAGGTATTGTTTTTCTAAAAACATACCTTTTTAATTTACGAGTTATCAAGATATTAAAAACCACAGGTTTCATCGCTTATGCTTACTGGTTGTTATGGAATTACAAAAATTTCTTGGCTCTTAACACACTTTAATCTAAGAAAACATACGGTTTATATTATCTAAAATATTTTAAAACCTTATTTTTTATGGATTTACATGACAAAATTACAATGAAGTACGTACCTAATTATTTGTTTTTCATTGTTATAAAATCTAAACACTTTAAAATTTTTCTTTATACATTTACAACAATACTAAAATTGACATATTTGTCTTTCAAAATCATGCAATTTCCTCTTTTTGCAAACCATTGGGATGACCTCTCCTCCCCCTCTTCTTTCCCCCAGTTAAGCGTACCACTGGTTACTATAGTCATATGACTAGCAGGCCACCTTGTGGCAGTATTACTTTTTACATGAAATATCTTTTTATCCTAAAATGTCTTTTTATCCTAAAATTTGTATAAAAAAGACATTTTAGGATAAAAAGATATTTCATGTAAAAAGTAATACTGCCACAAGGTGGCCTGCTAGTCATATGACTATAGTAACCAGTGGTACGCTTAACTGGGGGAAAGAAGAGGGGGAGGAGAGGTCATCCCAATGGTTTGCAAAAAGAGGAAATTGCATGATTTTGAAAGACAAATATGTCAATTTTAGTATTGTTGTAAATGTATAAAGAAAAATTTTAAAGTGTTTAGATTTTATAACAATGAAAAACAAATAATAAGGTACGTACTTCATTGTAATTTTGTCATGTAAATCCATAAAAAATAAGGTTTTAAAATATTTTAGATAATATAAACCGTATGTTTTCTTAGATTAAAGTGTGTTAAGAGCCAAGAAATTTTTGTAATTCCATAACAACCAGTAAGCATAAGCGATGAAACCTGTGGTTTTTAATATCTTGATAACTCGTAAATTAAAAAGGTATGTTTTTAGAAAAACAATACCTAATATCTTTGTTATTTGTAATTTTATAGTGTTAAACTTTTGTTTTTAGTTGGCTGAAGAGGGGCAATAAATGCCCGAAACGTGTGTAATATCAACACGTATCAACTAAATAAAAACTTGATGATAAAAAATTGCCAAGTGCCTGAAAATAAATACGATAATAATTTGTGTTTGAATTACTACTAATTTTATAAATAATGAAACAAAGTTTATGTATGATTCGCAAACTAGAAAAGTCTATAAACAGAAATTTATATTGTACTCTCCGAAAAAGTGATGTTATGCAAATCCGTACTATACGAAACAATGGACTAATGCAAAACATGGATAGGTTCCAAAAGTTAGCAAAAGTATACGATTTTTTCCTTCGCTAAGAGAAATATGTTTATTAAAGCAATCGAT